CTGCCAGCCGTGGAGTGTGCTGGGGTCAGGGGGTCAGGAGACTAGCTTCAGCTCTGTGCCTGCTCTGTCTTTTCTCTCAGAAGTAGATATATTAGGTTTTTCTTTTATAAATGGGAAGGAGGCCTGCCCTGCTCAGCCTGCAGGGAACTCTGTGTTCTGAGGCGAGGGTTATGAAATGGTGACAAAATTGGATTTGTCCCCCACCAGAGGAAGTTGGCCGTGCGTGAGCATTCTCGTTTCATGTCTGTCGCCCTTGAAACCAGGGTAGAAACGTCCCGGGGGCCCGCCAGCTGTGTCCCCCCTTCCCAGCCATATCCCTGGAGCACAGGTGTTCACTCAGCCCCCAGCGGTGGCTCTCATCGCTCTTGGCAGTGGGTAGGGGTGTGGAAATTGCACTCAGATTGTCTTTGCTCATGTCTTCTTTAAATCCTAATGCCAAGATTGTGGGTAGGGATGCCAAATGAGCCAGCAGGTGACCCGGCCATCTGGACCCTGAGTGAGGGAGGTTGATTATATGAGGAAAGCCCCAACGGGGGAAATGACGCAAGGGCCTCGTCTGGAAATGTCTGCCCTCCCTGTAGTTGTAATTACAACCACTTGGTTACTCGGAGCGAGTTGCTCAAAGGCAGCGCAGAGGACAAGTTAAGCTCTGATCCCTGCCCTAGTGTGACTCTGCTGACCCCCTCACAGCATTCCTGCTCACATGGTCTTGGAGGCCCCTTCTGCCTGGTGATTTATGTGAAGCTGCAGCCACCCTTTTGCAAAGTAACAATGCGTGCCATCCAGGGCAGGGCCTAGCTTGCGCACGTGAGTTGTTTCTTAGCTAATATTATTAGTTACTGCTTTTTTGAGACCTGATTTGACCACCAAGCAGTGGTTGGCTCCCAGCAAGACCTGAGCTATGCATGGCCATTTAGACATGGATCGTATGTGTGAGCAAAGATTTCAGAAAAACCAACAATTAAAACGTTTACCCATTGAATGATGTCTCATTCGGTGTCACAATCCTTGCTGTATTTTTAACACCAAAGTGGTGAAAGAACAACAAATTGTATCTCTCAACAGTGCTTCAAATAGAAACAAGACATTTGTGGGGAGGGGTCGGGATGCTGAAACAGAGGTGTGATTGATTGCAGCTGCCACCCACTGAGTCGCCGACCTCCCTGAGCAGGCCTCAACAGGCAGCAACTGTTGTGTTAGCAGATGTTTGAGGGCCCTGGGAA